CAATTAAGGAGAGACTCAGCTTCTTTTTAATTAGTTTTCCTAGTATCTTAGCTGTCTAATTTTTGCAATAACTATAAAGCCTAATCCAAATTTTAAGGCATAATGTTAATATTTAAACTACTTCAAGTCGTCTTGGGGAGGAAAATAGATTCGGAAATCTGATTTCATGATATCGAGAACATTTTAGGTCGTATTGGAGATATTTCATAACATGGGATTGAAGCAAAGCACCTCATTTATAAGGGCATGCATTGCATTTGCCAAGTACCACTAATAAGTCTTTTAAAAGCAATCATGGTTCCTGAGGTTTATGTCAGCTCTTTCCTGCAGCATTCCAGGAAAGCTCATTGAATTTCAGTCCCCGTTTGCCTAGATAAACAAAATAACTTCAATACCTGCATTCTTTGTCATACTTCCAATCTTCCCAGGGACACAGATACATTCAACAGTTACATCAGTTTAAATTGTTTATCGATTCCAATAGATTATATAAACACTTGGGAAGTATTGCTCAGTGACCCAGAAAAAGCCAGATTAATCAGAGAATGGCTTATAATTCATTTTAAAGATGCCAGCCATGTTGAAGTCCAATCAATGGGACAAAACCATTTTTCCTTCCCTGGTAATACAACTAAAGACATTAATTTTTTTGTTTACTGAGGAGGATAGGGGAAAAATTAAATTCTGATCTAAATTATAGGCAGTCCACTGTGGGATGTATGTGTGTGTATGTGTGTGTGTGTGTATTCATATGAAGAGTCTGCCATATGGTAGATGAATTAAATTCTGACATCTCTATCTGGATATCACAGACTTTCAGAAATCTGGACAGAAGGCAATGTCTCTATCTTTACATTACTCAAGAATGCAGGAAGCACTTACTAAGCACCTACTATGTGCCAGGAACTTTGCAGAGTGTTGGGGATATGGAGACAAAAAACACGAACGGGGCCCTGCCCTGAAGCATCACGGAAGCAGCCCCTTCTCGGCTCTCAGGTAGGCACTAAGTGTAAGCTTCTCAGTCTCAGAACCACTGGCTTTATTTGAAGTGAGGAATTACCTCTCAGCTCCCACTCCCACACCTTCTCTTCTCCAAGATGCTCCGACATTCCCCAGCGACCAGCACCCCACCGAAAGGCCAGCCCACAGGACAGGGATTGTGGGCACAGAGCAAATCATCAACCAAGAAACATTAATTGCTTCCCATGTGCCAGTTTCTGGGGGATACAAACATAGAAATCAAACTGTCTTTTCCTCAAGGAGCTTACCTTGTACTGGGGGAGACAACATGTATAAACACATGTATATATGTACAAGTACATCTGTGTTTACATGCAGGATGATTTTTTTTGGGGGGGAAAGGTACTAGTATGTGGGGGTGAGCTTTTACATTCATGTATAAAGTGGCCCTCGAGCCAAATCTTGAAGGAAACATGAGTCTGAGAGTGGAGGGGTCAAGGGAGGGCATACCAGGCATGAGGGACAGCCAGTGTAAACGCCTGGAGATGAAAGATGAAGCATCATGTGGGGAGCAGTAGAAAGACCAGTGTGATTCTAGTGGACAGTGAGGGAAGGGAGGCCAGAAAGGCAGGCTGGGCGCAGGTGGGAAGCACTCTGAATGACTGAAAAAGGCCTCCCTATTTGTTCTAGAATGTACTACTGAGAAGGGGAGTGACATGAGGGAAATTATCACCTTGGCAGCTGGGCAGATGGTGGATAAGTTTTCCCGAGGCTCCGAGCCAGGCCCAAACTACCCTAAGAACACAACAGCCCAGGCCCTGGGTCTCTGAAGTTCTAGGGAAAGGTCAGCCCTTCCGCAATCCCTGGCCCCGCCCACTCCCTTTGCCCAGGTGGGCTTCCAAAGGGCTTTTACTCCTGTGAGTAGGTGTCATTGACCTCAATTAACGATGAGGAGGCTCAGGCTCCCAGAGGGGTTGTGACCCACCCAAGATGGCCTGGTCAGTTGGGACGCCATCTAGTCCAGCTCTCCTGCCTTCTTGGGGACCCAGCGCTGGCCCCACTCCAACCCCCTCAGTCAAAGTACTGACTAACGGCTGGAAGGGCCTGTAAAGATCAAGAGCCCCCTCCGCCCATTTTACAGATAAGGACACTGACCAGAGGGTAAAGGGACTTGCCCAAGGTCACTGAACCAGTGAAAGGCAGAGGTGTCACTCGAGGCTAGGTCTTCTGACTCCAAGTTGACACTCAAGTTATAGTTCAGAAAACCCCCAACAACTCCCCCAAACCTGCCTTTCTTCTAGAAGTTTTTTTTTCTAAAATCACAGATTCTTTCTTTCTTCCTTTCTTTCTTTTTTTTTTTTGGTAAGGCAATCAAGGTTAAGTGACTTGCCAAAGGTCACACAGCTAGTGAGTGTCAAGTGTCTGAGGCCAGATTTGAACTCAAGTCCTCCTGACTCCAAGGCTGGAGCTCTATCCACTGTACCACCTAGCTGCCCCCTAAAATCAGAGATTCTTAATAGAGATCTCTGAAGTTGGTCTGGATAACAGTCATTTTCCTTCCCTTGGTTTCCTCTGAGCAGGGGTCTTCCCTAGGCTTGCCAGCCACCCCAAGTGGGTGGGGGCAGGGAAGGCAGTCCAGGGGCCCCTTCTCCGGGGGTTGCCCCATGTGAGCTCCACCTCAGAACGCAGATGCTCCAACCAGGGACGTGTCCAAGGGGCAGGAGACATGGATTCCACTCATGATCCTTTCCTTGGGGATGGCTTCCTCTCCTCTCCTGGGAGCCCTTTCAGAGAAAGCAAGGCACTGCCTCTGACTTGGGGACGGTGCCCTTCTCCTAGGGTCCTGATGGGGCTGTACCTCTGATTCCCTTTCAGGTGTCAGACTCAGGCACTCATGTCCAACAGCTTTGGTACAAGGCAGAAACTTTCTGGGCAGCTTTTATCTCCTCTCTCCAACATGGGATGGAAGGACTTGAGGCCCTCAGCAGACGGTAAGCTGCTTGAGAGCGGGGCCCACCCTTCTTGGCCTCTCCAGCACTTAGCACAGTGCCCGGCCCATTGAAGGCATTCAATAAATGTTTGCTGATTAACTCACTGGTGGTGTCTGCTAAGATTTACTTTCTTCCAACCATAGGAAATCTCACTCTATCATAGAAATACAAATCAAAACAATTTTGAAATCTCACTTAAAATCCAGCAAATTGCCAGATGATAAAAGATGGAAACATTGCCTACTGGATGAGCTCTGGGTCTTAAGCTTCTCATCTATTAAACAGGGACCCTGGACTAGATGATTCTGAGCTTCCTTCAAGCACAGAGTCCATAGAATGCTCATTCTGTAGTCTCCAGCCTCTAGGCATTTTCTCCGGCTGTGCCCCCTGCCTGGCATGCGCTCTCTCCTCACCTCTGCCTCCCTGGCTTCCTTCAAGTCCCAGCTAATGTCCTACCTTCCACAAGAGGCCTTTCCTGATCTTCCTTAATGCTAATGCCTTCTCTTTGTTGGCCATCTCCTGTCTATCCTCTAGATAACTCATTCATTCCAGTTGTCCGCATGTTGCCTCCTCCACTAGACCCTGAGCTCCTCGAGAGCAGGGCCCATGTTTTTGCCTCTCTTTGTATCCTCAGTGCTTAGCACGGTGCCTGGCACATAGTAGGTGCTTAGTAAATGCTCACTGAGAGACCAATTAGTTTAAGATTGAGCCCAGATCGAGCATTCAATGTTCCCTGGTCTAAGGGCTCCTTCAACACCGGCATTCCATGAGTTTAGGGCCAATCGGGATGCAGGCATAAAAGCCACAAAAAGGGTCTGGACAGCCTGTGTCAAATACAACCCTTCAGCCATCACCCAGGTGTGAAGGACTACCCGCCTTTGAGGAGAAAACACCCTGACGGAGAGTGGGCCTTTTGAGGAGTTGGGTTGCCTGACCTGGCAGGCTTCCACGACTGAGCAGGACAGCCCTTACCCACAATACAGAGAGTCCCACACGCAATAGGGAGGGCAAAATACAAACTCTGCCATTTAAAAAAAAAAAAACTCTTCACCGCAGGCAAACCCAGTGAGCACACTTTTCATGGTGCTTGAGACCACGGAGCTAAGAACTGGGATAAACCCCACCCCAGGCCCCCAACACTCACATGGCTGTTCCCTTACGGAGCTCAAAGCTCTGGGGCCACACGACAGCTGGACAGAGACAGGGCCCACGCAGGAGAGGCCTGCCTGTCTGAGAATCAGCAGATGAAGTGGGCAGGGAGCCTCTTCCCTTCCCCATATGGGGATATCTGATGTGCAGGGGCTGAATGAGCCACATCATAAGCAGTGCTGAATGCAGAGACCAGCAGAGGGGCTCATCCCACCCGCCCCCCCTGCTCCTAGTCATCTGCAAGGGCAGCATGCTGCATGCCCACTTGGGGTGTGTCATACAGAGAACTTCTATTCAGGTGGAAGTCTCAGTCTAGAGGCCCGCGAGGTCCTAGATGGCCAAGTGGGCTGGGACCTTCAGGAGCAGGAAGTACCACCAGCACTTTTCTATTGGCCATCCAGGAGGAACTCAGGACTCCCTGGGCCCAGCAACTACCACCAACTGGCCAACTCCATCACACTCTGGGGGCCGTTCACCAAACTCCTTCCCCCACCAACTGTCGCTAAGCCAGGTTTGCTAGCGGAGGCCTGCAGTAGAAATAATCACCGCCCATTAATGAGGTGCCCCCCAGCTCTAAGAGTCTGTGACCCTGGGGAGCCCTCGGCCCAAGTGCCTCATTCTGCAGACAGCGACAACTGAATTTTCTGAGCACCGTTGAATGCACAAAGCAGTTCCCTGCTTCTGACAATCTTGTGAAGCTGCTGAGGCCCAAGGAAGCTAAAGGACTTGTCCAGTCTCACAGTTGTTAAGGGGAAAGGCTGGAGCCCACGCCTTTCCAGGACACCGCCTCGGCTTCCCCAGAAATGACAGGTGAGGAAACTGAGGTTCAGAGAGGCAGACGATTTTCCCAAGCCCCACTTATGAAGCCTGGTCAGCGAGGGAGAACACAGACAGCCTCACCTTTCCCTGAGAGTCGACTGATTGAGCACAGGGCTGGGAGAGCGCTTCTGCATCGATGACGGTGCTGAGTGGACCAGGAGAGACCTGTCCACGTGGCACGGCCTAGACTGCCTTGGGGCAAGGTACTCTTCACATCTGTCAAGAGAGTCTTCCTGATCTCTCCCATGAGACGGCCTAGTAATCTGTTAAAAGACACATTGAAGAGCATGTCAGAACCCAACGCCCCATCTATGAAAGTGCCCCCAACAGCCAATCTATTTGGATGGCTCCTTCAGCCTGCAATCATTTACACAGCACGACTAGGAGCTAGCCAAGGTCACATATGAAGAACAAAAGCCTAAAGCCTTCCCTGAAGGACCTGACATCTGGTCAGACAGAGCGCCTGCAGGGAAATGTCCCAGAGGCACAGAGCCCCGGAGCTCCCCCGGGGGACAGACCTGCTCCTGCACCGAAGCTTCTAAGCAATCGGAGCTTTCCTGCAGGAGAGGGAGAGAGCGAGTGCCCCCATCACCAGAGGACTGTGCCAGGGATGATCGCTGGTATCTGAGATTCATTCCAACTCCAAGATTCTGATTCCCTGGAGCATCCTAGATTCCTAGAGATCCCAGTGACGGGGTTGGACCAAGGCTGCTTCCAGCTTTAAATCTATAATCCTAACTTTACAGAGCAGGAAACTAAGGCTGAGACCTCTATGAATGGGGAGCCCTCCACCTCCATCTGAGAAAGGCCCAACGCGGGCATGTCCTGGCTCCAAGGCCTGCTGCTCTCCAGGGTGGCTGACTGGCTGAGGGTTTGCGCCTGGCGGCCAGCTTGCAGCTGGAGGGAGCCAGTCAACATCAAATGGTCAACAACCAAAGAAGCCAGAGTCAATCTGAGTCAACAGGCACAATCAAAAGCCTAAGAGGCTGAGCTTGAAAATGTGAAAGCGGTACAGCAGTGCCAGCAACACACGGTCCTACCCGGAGGACTGGTGTAGCAAAAACTCTGGACTGAGAGGAGACCCAGACTTCAGGCCTGGCTCTGACACTGACCAGCTGTGGCGCCAGGGTGAGCCATTTGTAACCTGTCAGTCTTCTCCTCTGTGAAATGGGAATACTAAAACCTGGTGCAGGGCAGCAAATGTCACAGCGCTAGAGAAAGGGGAGCTATGATTCAGAGTTATACGATGTCAGATCCAGACAGACACCGATGACAGGCACGACATGACATCAGAAGAGGGTCAGCCTCTGACTGCAAAACGGTGGGCTGAACTCAAGTGATTGCTAAGCTCTAAATTCTAGGACCTCCCCTTCAACAGCAGCTGCCAAAGCAGAGCTGCCCTCAGCTCTGGGAGAGGAAGCCCTCTGCTACTGCTCTTATCCAACACCTCCCTCTTGGGTCTTCTGCCCACTGGACACTTTGCTGTAGTAATGTGGCCACATCAGCCAAATTAAAAATACAGTGATCCCTGCAAAACCACCTAAGGGGGTTTGGAAAGGTGTCCTGGCAGGAGCCTTGAATAGAGAAGGTCAGCTCGATTCTGTGCTCTGCTCCTGATCCACTACTGAGTCTGGATAGACCCCGGGCATGGGGCACCCAGTCTTTATGTACCCAGGGCTGAGCAGCGGCCTTTCACAAACATCATTGGAAGCCAAGATGAATGGAGATTTGCTGAACTGAAAGCAGGGAGAGGAAGGCAGGGCAGAAAGGCAAGGAAGGCACCATTCCACAGAAGGTAACTGTAGCAGGGGAGTGAGGGACTGTGCACATCGGCATGAAAAGAGCCAGTCAGCTTCAAACTGGGAGACAGAACTGGAAGCGTGGGAAGTGGGGAAGTGGCCATGCAACAGAAGAGCTTCTGGGCAATGAAGGCCATGCCTGGAGGAGGGAGGAGCACCCCATCATTGGGCTCCCAACCACAGGAGGATGAGCTCTGCTTGAGGAGGCCTGGAAGGGGCCAAGAGGCTGTCCTAGCTGACCTCTGAGGGGCTGCTTTAGCCAGCTCTCATCTGGGATTCCCCTTCCCACCCACAAGAAGTTAACAGAGGGGAGCAAAGAAGATCTTACTATGTGATTAATGCTTGATTCTCCCTACTGGGCATAGAGATACCACATTTACCCTCTAAATTGCTTTTAAATGAGGGGAAGAAAAAAAGAAAAGAATTGGGACAATCCAGAATTAATAAAAGACCTATGCCAGTTCAGGGAGGGAATGGGGGCAACTGGTTTACACCGGACCAGGACAGAAAGGAGGCACCATCCTTCTCACCCCAGCCTGACCCCCACCAGGCTCTTTGTGACTCTGACTCCCCACATGCCATCAGTCCCCCAGTGTTCAAGATGTTCTCCTGTCAGCGTCTCCTGTCTGGGTCTCCTCTCCTCCGCTCCCACTCACCTGTCTCAAGGACCCCTCCTAGCCAAGGCCCTTATGGGCTCCCCAGTTGGAAGGGCCTTCCCCAGCCCAGAAATTACTTTGAATTCACTTCAGCTAAATCTCCTGTTGATTTATCTGCATACATCTTGTTTCCTCCCAAGCAGAATGTAAGGACCTTGAGGGCAGGGCCAGTTTCATTCTTATCTCATCGGGGTGCCTTGTACATAGCAGGCATTTAATAACTCCTCTCCTAAATTCCTTTTCTGCCTTCAGTCTTTTCCCTCTCACGGAGCTAAGTGGAATCTCACCGTGAAGCTAACAGGTCTAAGGATGTCACTCCCTGCTTGAATCCCTGCACATACCTGTTACAAGCTCTAAGAAAAAGACAAAGTACTAGTCCCAGATTTGGATTCCTTTTACAACCATTCAAATAAAAATGTTTGGCACTGGCCCCAGTCTAACTCCATGGTCCTTCCTTTCCCACATACTGCCCTCCAGTAGACAGACTGTCTTCCTATTCCAGACACCCATAAGCTCTGTCCCCAGGCCCCTGCACTGGTTGTTCCCCCTGCCTGGATGCTCCCCCCTCTCATCCCTGCCTCTGAGAATCCCACTGCCATACTCCCCATGAGGCCTTTCCCATGCCCTTGGCTGCCAGGGCCTCCCACTCCTGAAATGACACTGCGTGTGCTCTGTGTACATTTTGTGTCCACTTACACACCCCCACATCAGCTCCTCCACTTACAAACAGAAGCTCTGGGGGAGCAGGGCTTCCTTTTCAGCCCGGGGCCTGGCCCACAGTAGGCCCTTCATAGATGCCTGCAGACCAGCTGAGGGGTAATTCTTCCAGTTTCATTTGCAGGCTCTTCCTAAGGCCCACTGGGTGTTTACAACGACACAACCCCAGAGCTGGAAATGGGCAGGAGGCCGGTGAGTCCAACCCATGCCCACAGGGCTCTTTTCCACATTACAAATGCCCTTCCTACAAGTCTCTTCTCCTCCATGCCAACCACCCTACCTCCTTCAGCCTATCCCCACTCGGCAGACATCTTCTCTAGGCCCTTTACTCCAGGCTGCCTTCCTTTGAACGATTTCCAGCCCATCCTGTTTGTGGAGCCCAGAATGAAATTCTATATTCCAGGTGTAGCTAAGACTTAGAGATAGGGAGGCAAACACCATCACAGGGAAAGAAAAGAAGGCTCAGAGGAAGGGGAGGAGGGCAGGGGGAGGGCAGGGGGAGGGTGGGGGAGGGGCCAAACTGCAGATAAACAAATAAGCGCAGACCGGACCCAGAAGTCGGTCTGGTAGCTGGGCACCTGCATCTTCATCCAAGGAGCTTCAATACCCACCAGGTGCATTTTTCATAATCTCATTTATGCTGAAGTCACCCGTTTCTGTCATTTCTTATTCCCTTGCCCTATGCCAGACAGGAATCAGACTGCCATCTTCTTTTCTGCATCCACTAAAAGGCCTAACCCCCGGAGACAGCGGAGTGCAGAGGAGCGAGCCAGAGGACTCGACTTCATACTCACAGGACCATAACCCAGCTGAGTCCAAAGGGACCTTAGAGGTGAAGTCCAAACGCCTCCTTTTCCAGAATAGAAAACAGGCCCCAAAAAGGTGGGGACCTGCTCAAGGTGACACAGATCTGAATCTAAATCCCTCAGTGTGGAGGAGCTCTGCTCCGGCTGTGCTCTGACATCTGCAACCAAGAACCTGGATGAGCAGATGCATATTAAGGCTAGGACCAGCCATCGGATTTGACAGAAAGGGAAACTTTTGGGTTTTCCCAGGGAAGGGAGGCGAATTGTCCAAGGCCACACAGGGATTAACACAAAGACTGGAGGCCAGGTCCTCAGCATCACACTGCAGATGACGTATTTAATAAACGTTTGCTGAATGCTGGCTCCGTAGGTGTTTGGCCCAAGAAGGCAGAACTAGACCCAATGGAAAGTGAAGGGGAGGAGAGAGGGGATATAGAAGAGAGATAGATTTAGGCCTGTTGTCAGCAAAGACTTGTTGACAATGAGCATTATCCCAAAGTAGGCTGAGCAGCCTTGGAAGGCAGTGGTTCCCCATCCTTGGAGGTGACGTCCTCGTAGCCTTCTCCAGGCTGAGGCTGGAGGACCAGACAAGCCAGGATGTGAATTCTCTCCCAATACCCCTGAATGAATTTTGTTAGGAAATAGTGCTTAAAGGTCTTAGGAATGTGATTAATTAATTAATTGATAGCTATACTAACCTAGATAGCACAAACAATGGTTTTCTCCAATAACTTTTTTCTTTTTAGAAAAGAAATCAATTTTAATTAAAATGTCCAAGATAAAGAGTCTCTATGGCCATGAACATTTTTCAAGTTGGCGACCTGCATGTATAGGAGCTCTCCAAGGAGACCCCAATAGATTTAAATGAGCAGAAGTGCTGACATTTGCTAGCTTCATGGCCTAGACACCATCAGAAGCCAGCACAAGTCTGGGTCTCGTCTCATGCCCAGGCGGCTCCTGGTGCTTTGATTACGTTTCCATCCTTTCCCAGCCTTCTCACAGATTCATTAATAGGAGGGGTAGTCATTCCACAGTGAGCTGTCTGCAGAGCACCTCTTCTCAGACTGAAGATCAGACACAACAGCCTCTGGATTCTGGAGTGCTGAGAGAACACCTTCTCTTTAAAGCCAGCCCCTCATTTACAGATGAGGAAACTGAGATTCAGAGAGGGAAGATCCTCGCACAAGGTCATACAAGGTCCAACTGGCAGAGCTTGATCTCAACCTCAGGCCTTCTGACTTTGTGGCAGGTCTTTCCACTACATCAGAAAGCAAGATGTTGGAAC